TGACAACACAGTGTGCAGATCCTACGAGTCCTGTGTCTTTTTGCATCCATTTCCAGAGATAGAACCTGGTTCTGAGGTCTCCAGGCAAAAAAAAAAAAAAAAAAAAAAAAATTACAGTGGGCCTGAAACATAAATAAATGCATTGTTAGGTGTTCTTCTCAGTGAAATATAAGGCTCCTGAGAAATTCTTATTTCATGGAATCACAGCATCATTGATTTTGGAAGAAATCTCTGGAGAGCATTCACTCCAACTCCATAGCTCGTGCAGGTACACACATGTATGTGGATATTTTGTGCTCCCATGAAGCCAAAATTCCTGAATTGCAAACCTGAATCACAGTAGCAGTATTTTATAACTGGATTGGGATAACCCCCGTTACACTGTGCTCAAGTAACACTTGATTTCACAGGAAAGTGAAACACTTGTAAAATTCCAATCATCTTTGTATTCACATACAATTCTGTGCACTTTATTTTGTCCAGAAATTTAAACATAAATCTGTGTTTGAAATATATTTCAGTCTATCCAGCCATCCTTGACTTGCTGTTCATCAAGGAGCAAATTGACTTTGTTCCATGCGCCTCATTCTCCTGGTTTAAGGCACGTTGGTAATTGGATTTATTCTGTGAAGTGAGACCTCAGCTTTTCACACTGGCCCTTCACAACATCATTGCCCTGTAGCTGCATTCATTCCCTGACCCAGAGTGGTGGTTCACAGATGATGGGGGGAGAATGGAAAATGCTGAAGGAGCTGCTGCTGTTTTTTTCTAGCTCCTCTGGGCAGGTGAGAATTGCAGGTTCTGGGGCACACATTGGCTCCTTAGTCCCAAAGAGCTCCTTCACAGGTGAACAGGGCCACCAAAGTCCTTGCCCTGGCCAACAGCGAGGGGACAGTGGAACCAGGACCTTCTCCAGTACCACAGGTGATACTTGCTGTGAGAAACACAATTCTGCATCTTATGGAAGGGCATGGGGTTGTGCTCCCCAGCTTCACAGACACCTGCTGGTTTCTTCAGTCAGCAAAACATCTCCAAGACCTTCCCTGGAGGCCTCCTCTCCATAAAAACGTGGGCAGACACTTGGAGTGGCAGAGGGAGCCTTAGTGAGTGGGATCAAGCCTTGCAGCAAGTTTCCAAAGGATGATTGCAAAGCTCTCTTTGCTGCCCAAGGTCTGCCAGGAGCATCCCAAACCCTCAGCCTGCTGCAGCAATGTCAAGAGGAGCATTCCAGACAGATCCTGTGTGGGTTATTCCAGCTGGCTTGTGAGCAGAACAGCTATTTGAAGAATGAGGACATCACAGAATCACAGGATGTCCTGAGCTGGAAGGGTTCCTCAAGGATCATCGTGTCCACTCCTGATATCTCAGCTTTCTCTGACTGTATCTTTTTATGTCCCTTTGTAGCCCTATCACTATTTTTTTTTTAAAGTTGCCATAACTCTGCTAAGAATGTTTCAGAGATACTTCCCTTTTCAGACTGCATTGATATTTTTTCCTTTTCACCTGCATATTGTATTGTAGATGGATGGTCCAGTCTGACATCTCAGGAGGGACTCTTGGCTGCTTTGGAAGCTCACAGTATTTTAGGTCAGCTGTATCTCCTGTGCCTTACAGCTGCCTCACAAGAGGCAGAACTAGTGTTTTAAAAGTGCTTTAAAGCAGCCTCATGCATCTCTCCTTCTTCAGAGAAGCTGCATCTCCAGCTGCTCTCAGTATTTTCTGGGCTCTCAGTCTGAGATGCCAATGGTTTATGATCTCTCAGTGACCTCTAGATAAAATGCTGTAAAGGAAATCCCACTGGTTTTCTCCAAACAATGTGTTTACTGCAGAGGAACACACGAATAACCAAAACAATATTCATCTACTCCTGTAGAGTGCCCTTTTTTTTGTCAGTTTTCCTGGATATTTGCTCCTCACATGACTTCTGACAGCCAAGACCACCCCAGGACAGGAATGAGTGTCTGCATTTGAGGACTAAGTTTCTTTCTGATGAGTAGCTATATTTTAGTCACACAAGGAGCCTCCAGCAGAGTTTGTGGTGTTTTCCCATTGCTGTGTGAGGTTGAGAGTTGCAGGGAACCACTCACTGCAGTCCTTGTTCTGCACCTTCAGGAAGCAGAAGTGTTTCACATCCAGTGCTTCCCAGCCTGGAAGATCTCAGAAACACTTGGAGAAACACTAAGCCAGCAGTCCAAACTCAGGACTGTTCCAGCACAAGCCTTAATTCCTGGTGGCCCATTTCCCAGTGTAATGGCCATATTCTAATGCACCAGTCTGGCTTCCATCCTGCTTGCTGCTGACACAGGCACAGACTAAACTGCTAATCCCCAGCATGCCCAACCACCCCCCTGCTTGCACTGCCACTCTGCTTGCTCCCCACGGGCTCTGTGCATGGCAAAAACCCTTCCAGGAGTGATTTCCACGGGGATCCACTAATGCATGTCCTTCCTGACGTGTTGGTTAACAGATCCCACCATTGAAGTGGTCAGTCCCATGCAGGACATAACTGTTGATGAAGATGGCCCAGCAGAGTTCATATGCCAATATTCTAGGCCAGTGCACGCCATCTGGAAGAAAAATGATCAGGAAATACATTCAGATGGGCAGCGAGTGATTATCGAGCAGGACTGGAATGTGAGCATGCTAAAAATTAACCCCACGGTCCCAGAAGACACTGGCATCTATTCTTGTGAAGCTGAAGGCATTAAAGTGATGGCTACACTTGATGTTCAAGGTGAGGTCTTCCAGCCAGAGAGGAAGACTACCATGGGTTCCAAATAAAATAGGGAGAAAAATCATGGCAAGGCTTTGCAATAGGGGACACATCAGATACCTGCTCTTGGTGCTCACTCCAGTACTGAAAATGAGGATAAAAATAGTTGGGGGATAATGGGACTTGGATGTGGAACTGCAGCATAATCTTATTTCTAATTAGCACTCACTCATTACACCACTTAGCCATCCCACCTCTTGTGCAGTGAGCTGGATCATTGCTGTGGTGGGATGTGTCCTGCTGAATTGTTGTAAAATCACAGGGATATTGTTGGTCCAAAGGAATAACATTAGTATTGTTTTGCTGTTAACAAGCACTTTTTACAGCGTGACATAAAACCAGTAACTAATGGATAGTGTGAAATTCCATTTTGTTTTGCTGAGTAAATGAGTTTGGTAATTTACCTACTTCAAATAATGATCCCTCAGGAATTACCTCCTCACTCAGCACTCACATTTGTGGAGACCCTGGGAAACAATATATACAAAAATTAACATAAAGTTAGGATTTTACACGGAAATTTTTTTTTTTTTTTTTTTTTTTTTTTTGCTGTATATGGAATTCCTGGGTTTGGTTACCAAGTGAATTGGTGTGATCAGCAACAGCAGGTTCTGATTTCTGGATATTTGTGGCTATTTTGCCCTCTTGCTTAACTGGAGTTGGTTGTTAGTGCAGAAGAACAGGGTGTTATTTATTATAATGTTTTCTACATTGATAAGCACTTTGCATTGTAGGGTTTTAAAAAGATTTTAATTAACATAATCTAAAAGCATCCCAGAGGAGGTAGGGTTAGCAATTGGCTGCTTTCCATAATTAGGGAAAACCAGCATGTCCAAAGTACACAGATAAACAATTTGGGTTGTTTTAATAAAAATTATACATTCTCCAAGAGAAGTCTGCAACCTCCTCATTGTTCTCCATAAGTATGAATCTAAAAAAATTCAGAATATTTTTAGTATTACAGAAGCCCAGAATAGTTTGAGTTGGAAAAGACCTTGAAGATCAGGTAGTTCCACTCCCCTGCCATGGGCAGGGACACCTTCCACTGTCCCAGGCTGCTCCAAGCCCTGTCCAACCTGGCCTTGGACACTTCCAGGGATGGAGAGTCCACACACAACATCTCTGGGCACCTTGTAATTAGTAATAAGTTAATATATATCTAGTAGCTTGTGCTTTTTGGTATGTTTGTTTTGTTTTACCATTAAATAAATTGCTGTTTAGAAGCTTTTTAACTTTTTTTTTTTTTTTTTTTTTGTCTGAGCATGGTTCCAGATGATCTGTAGAGAGCTAAACAGGGATGTCTTGGGGTCTTGGTTTATAACACATGTCATGCTGACCATTTTATGGCATTTGTGTAAACTGTATTTACTTAACCATGTGTCCCCACCCTTGTGCATGTCATTTGTCCCTGTAGCAACATGAATTATACCCACATGCACCAGGCCACAATTAATTTGGCATTGAGCTAATTGTTTCTGTCCAGGTGCCAACTGATGCATGACTGGAATGTGGAGGTTTGTGCATGTTTGTGACCCCACAACTCACCACACAGCATGGGAAAATAAACCTAAATGTCACAGAGCTTTTATAATCATTCAGAAATTGACTATTCAAAGTAATCTTGATAGAGATTTGGACTTTCTGTGTGTTTCCTAGAGGCAGAATTATCTCAGATAATCGTCACTATAGCTTTGCCAGCCATAATATTCTCTTACATTTGCTTTGCAAGAAAAGTAATAAGATCTTACCATGAGTTGTCAGTGGATTCACATTTCCCCCAGTCATGATGATAATTGTGCTGTCTGAGAGATCTTTGGGAAATGTTTCCTGTCATAGGACAAAAGGAATTTGGTTACACTTTATATTCCTGAGCTATGCCTTCCTGTTGACTGTTGGCCTGATTCATACAAACATGACCATTTCTTTCTTTATTAAAAAAAAACAACATGTTTTTGGAGGAAATTTGGGTGAAATGGTAGAGGTTCTAGATGAAATGCTGGGGGTTCTAGAGGTTTATCATTACTTTTACACTGTCTTCAAATCTTTTTATTACAATATTTTGTTAGAGCGCGGTTGCAATCAGCAATTAAACCAACAAGCACAGTTTAATCACATTTTTCCATCAGCTTTGCAGCAGTGGGAATCATCCAGTGCTCTGAGGCTTGCTAATAATCAGAGATATATGGCCAAATAATTAATGATAATGTAAATTGTCCTTCTTTTCTAGCCAAGAACAGCATTGTCCAGGGCTTGGAGAATGTGGAGGCTGTGGAGGGAGGGGAAGCCCTGTTCGAGTGTTACCTCTCCAAGCCTGAGACCTACAATTACAACTGGCTGATTGATGATGAACCTGCCAAAACCACAGAAAACACTGAGATGGTTTACTTTGAAAATGGACTCAGGCATATCCTGCTGCTGAAGAATTTAACTCCCCAGGACAGCTGCAGGGTGACTTTCATGTGCAGTGATGCAGTGACCTCAGCCTTCCTCACAGTGAAAGGTAACTCTAGTGCTGGGGCAGGGCAAGGCTTCAATTTCTGGTTGGAAAGGGGAAAGAAACCAGGAAAATATGACAAGGTGCATTTGTTGTTTGTCTCTTACCTAAATGTTCTTCTCACACAATAAACCATAGAATCATTCAGGTTGGGAAAGATCTACCCAACTCTGCCAAGCCCACCACTAACCCACAGAATCCCAGAATGGTTTGGGTTGGGAGGGACCTTAAAGATCATCCAATGCCACCCCTGCCATGGGCAGGGACACCTTCCAATGTCCCAGGCTGCTCCAAACCCTGTCCAACCTGGCCTTGGACACTTCAGAGATCCAGGGGCAGCCACAGCTTCTCTGGGCTCCCTGTTCCAGGGCCTCCCCACTCTCACAGGGAACAATTTCTTCCTTAATATCTTATGTAAATCTATTCTCTGTCCCTCTGAGTACATTACTTCTTGTCCTGTCACTTCATGCAAAAAGTCCCTCTCCATCTTTCTTGTCAGCTCCCTTCACATACTGGAAGGTACAACTTAGATCATCTCCAAGCCTTTTGTTTTCCCTGAAAAACAAAAATCTGAAAAAATCCGATTCTCTCACCCCTAAATGAATGATGCTTTACAATTTCATTATTCTCTTGTTCTGTGGGATGTGACACGGTTTGTAAGCAGCACCAGGTTTTAGTTTTGGGTGGTTTTTTTAGGTTTTAGTGCATTTGCATACAGAAGTCAACTGTCCAATTAATAGCCTCAAATCATGAGGTTTCATCCTCCTTGCTTGTTTGTCCACCTTCCTCCTCACATTGTTTATGCTTAGGACCTGAAGTTTGAAGAGCTTGTCCTTGAGTCTCCAGCTGGAATAGGAACTGTTTTGTCTTCACCACCCTGTGAAAAGATCCTAGTAACCCATAATATAAAACTAAAAGCTGCACACCCAAGCAGAATAGAAAAACTTAAAACTTAAGGCATCAATTCCCAACCCCCTTTTTTTTTTCCTTCTCCTATTACTGGAGACCCCAATGGGGCCCAGAACCCCTTTCTGTACAAGAAAGTGAGAGTACAAAAGCAGAGATCAGTCCTCACTTATGGATTAGATGGGGCTTGGTGCAACCTGGTCTGGCAGAAGGTGTCCCTGCCCAAGGCAAGGGTGCAACAAGATGAGCTTTAAAGTCTCTCCCAAACCATTCTGTGACTCTAAACCTTCTGCTCTGGCAGTATACATAAACCTTTTAATGATCTCCTTGGTCTCCAAGGCCTGGCTGTTCAGAGATTCAGCACAAATATTCACAAAATCTCTTTATTGTTTCTGTAACTGAGGGCTTGATCACTGGTTTTAATCTACAGGGTGGCGCCTGCAGTTCTTGCAGCCCCTCACGGATGTGGAAGTGTCCCTGGGGGAAAAAGCAACATTTAGTTGTGTGCTGAGTGAAGCTGTGCCAGTTAATGAAGTGGCCTGGTACAGTAATGACACAGAGATCCAGTCAGGTGAGGACTGGGAGGTACAAGCAGATGGAAACAAATACAAACTTATTCTGAAAAAAGCCCAGCTGCATCATTCTGGAGAGGTGACCTTTGCTTCCAGGGAGGCCATTTCATCAGCCAAGCTTTCTGTGATAGGTAAGTGTGTGTTGGTCCAGACAGGGGCACTCAAAATCTCAAACTTTGGTATTGAGCTACAACATTGAATTTCTCAAATTTCATGCTGATTCTTTCCACTTGGTGTCACATGTCCCAAAATAGTGTTCTTAGGCTGAGAAGATACTACTGGCAACTTGTTCTTTGACCAGCAGTAATCCACCTCATCAGAAGAAAAATGTACCAGGCTAATGATGGTAGAGATGCTTCCCAACTCTCTTTAGCTGCAGACTTTTGTTAAATGTAACGTAAACTCTAACAAAAATCAGAATTCTCAGAGTTCAACTTCATTCTCGTCAAATATGGACACAGGAGGGAGCTGAGCTAGAGCAGAAATTGTCCAGGACAGCAGAGGAATCTTTGAAATCTGCTAATCAGCTCAGGTGCAGGGCAACAACTTTTCCAGATTAATGTGTAGCATATTAAAATCTTCAAGTGGGGGACGCCCATGAAGCACACACCTCCTGCTTCAGAGACACAAGAGTCAATAATTAAGTAGGGAAAATGATAATTCCCTAATTCCCTGGTGGAGCAGGCTGTATAATGACATGTCAGTGTCCATTTCAGCACCCAGGATTTGGCTCCTTCCCATAGTAGGACAAATGGGTCACACTGAAGTGTCACACAGCACCATCCCAATGATGGTTATGAGATAATTAAATGTATTTTAGCTGTAGCTGAGATGTTAAAGAGTCACTGATGGACCATCTATATTTAAATGACTACAGGCAGTCTCTGTCTAATGATTTCTGAGATTAAAGGATCTCTCTTACACATTCCAGTCACTTCCACCACAATTAAAAAGAAAAAAGTTTGATGGATTTAAATGAGCTTTTTTTAAAATTTTGGGTACTTATATTTAATGAACTTCAAAATAAAAATGCAATACTCCTGTTGATTTTTCTGTATGAAATTTGTCTGACAACAAAGAAAAGATTTTATGTTGTTCTTGTGGTGTCTAGAGTTAAAGAAATGCCTGTTGACCATATTTGCCTTTAATTCTTTGGATTGGTATATCATGGTAGGTTATTTACATTATAAATGTCTTGAACTCAAGACTGAAAGAATTATTTCTGACTTTAAGGCCAAAGTGTAATGTAAGCAAGGAACATTTTCCAGTGTACTGAGTGTAGGGATTGGGATTAGGTGATCCTCAAGGTCCCAACCCAAACCATTCTATGATCATGGACAGCAGGACTCCAGACCATTCCCATAACATATTATTTATTTGTTTTTGCCTGATGCTGTGACATCTATTGCAATTACACAGAAGCTGAGTGACTTGTTATTAAAATATTTCAGTTATTCTTTAGTCCCATAATAACTTGATTTCATTTAAGGCCAGGCCTAAAATAAACACAATCAAGGCTCAAACGTGCTTGAAATTTTCAGTTAAATTCCTTAATAATATGGACTGTGTAGGGTTATCTTTATTTTGAGTTTGATGGGACAAAGGCAATACAAGATGTTAATTATGCAAGATGAGAGTTGGAAAATTAATGTTTGCCATTGGCAGCATAGCTCAGGGCAGACCAGGATAAATCAGGGGTGCACAGGTATTATGATCATGACTTTATGATGGCTTTACACTCAATTTTACAACAAGGAGAATACTCAGTCTATTGCACTTGCTTTCTCACGGCTTGTAGAAGGCTCTTGG